ACAAGGATCAAATAAGCATTCCACTCTGGGATTATGGAACAAATTTTATGAAAGAAAAAATTACTGAGAATGAACAACCTTGAAAGCTAAATGATGAAATGCGAACAGCAAGCACTCGACATAAGTAAAAGTTCGTCTCCTCTCCAGTCTTCCTCCGAGGCATGTACATCTGAGTAGAAGGAAGAAATTTATTAATAATCAGAGTCTAAATAAATATAAATGAGCTCAAGATAAAGACATTTTTGCCAGCTAAAAGCTTAAACACTTAGATGTGATAAGCAAATCCTTGCCCTTAGAAATACAACCACAACTTGCATGGCAAACGGAAAAATATCCATGGTCATAACGACATATCTCTACCTTTAACAACTGCACCATAGAAGGAAGAATCTGACGCGAGCCCTGTGTTGATGTGTAAGGCGAAATTTCTGCAAGGGCTTTAAGCAGATCTAGTTTCCCTAGCTCTGGAAGCTGTCATAAAGAAACATTGTCAGAAAATATTTCGTAGGGCTATTTAAAACAAATGTAGAGTCAAAATAGAATCTTCACAACAGCCGAAATTTACAGGAAAACAAATACCCAGTTTTCAGGAACCACTGCTAAGATGTAAGCTTTTGGAAAATAGCACTTAATAAACACTTGCAGCGCTAAGGTTTCCATGCAGCCTTGGTGATGCCATTAAAAACTTAGCCAGAAATATATCCCATAAAACTTGAATATTCTTCTTTTTCTATTTCCACATGCCCTCAGGTTTTCCACTAACAAGGTAGTGAAACGACTTCAAACTGCTTTACTAAGGGAAATAAATTCCACATACTTGTATAAGCACCATTGATTTCCTAAGAATTACAGACATGAATAAATAAATTCAAGGCCTTCAAGTAGGAAAAGTAAACTCCAGTTCTGGAATCTTGATACCAGAGGACAGAAGTTAATATCCATCAACATTCACACACTTGGACACATCAACACTAACATTTTCTAATTTGCCCAAGACTAAAAATGAATCCCTAGTCTCTTACAAATTGATACGTCATCTCACGCCTGTCCTGTGACTTCCTCTGCCCCTGCCTTCTCACATTCACTCGCTAGTCAACTTTCCCCATCAATGACCCTCTGTCTGTAATAATATCTGCCTTCCCAAAATGAAAATGACACCAACACCCCTTTTAAAAAAGTCCTAGCACTGGTTCAGGTTGGTATTGGAATGGTGGTTCAGTTTGTCTGAACCGATGCTCAAATCCATATGTAATTTTTAGTTCTAAATAGAATTGTTTTTACATCTTATGAGAGACGTCTGAATAGTTAATAATATAAAATTTTAAATTAAAAATTTTAAATTTAAATTCTACAACATGAGGAATAATTTATTTTTTATCATATAATATATTATTTGATATAAAAAAGAATGTTCTTTCACATCTAAGGGGAAGGTAATTTGATTTTTGACGAAATCCATTTGCATTGTAATTGAATTGTTGTCTAAATTGGTTGGTTATGATTTGAGTGGTGTTTGGAGTTGTTTTCTCACAACATTGTTTTATACAACACTTCATTAAAATTGTTGATTTTATATAATTAAATTATTTTTAATTGAAATTACATAAAATTTATTAATCGTATTAATTTACATATTAAACTATTTTCAAAGTATTTATTAAATAATAATATAAATTTTTTAGTAGTAAAATACTCATTAAGCACCAAATACAGACTCCTTTAAACTAACCAATTTATTTAAACATATACACCCCAAAATTTTTTTGATAGGTATATACGCACCAAATTTATTGAGTTATGGTACATATATAGATGAAAAGGTAAAAAGACTGGTATTAAAGAAGTAGGTAGATGTGGGTACCAATTTCCGTCAAAGTAACATATTTGAATAACAATTTTGATTAGAAGACCTCAAATTGGGGTAGACATAAATACTCGTTTGTTCCTAGAATTTAAAACAGGTACACAAACCAAAAAGGTTTAGTTTGAGTGATAAACCTTGAGACCCTTTTCAAGAAATTGTCCTTTTTGTGGGTCTTGCGGACAATAACCATGAGTAGAAAATGTTATTTCAAGGTTAAGATCACATAATTGATAAAATATATAAAAAATTATAACTAAGTTTTGAAACAAAGTTAGGATTTGATAAAATCAAAGAATTTGTAGAAATATTGCCAATGTGACTAACATTCATAAGAGAGCCATCAGTAAGAAATGAATTATTTGGTTACATTGAAGAGAAATGAGCAGTAGTTGAAGACATGTGATTATAACAACTAAAATCAAAATACCAAGGTTCAGTACTTTGAGCAGTAGATAAGACAATAAAAGCATTAAAAACTTGCCATAGAATTAGTAAAACTCACAATATTAAAAAAAAAATCTCTAAAAAATATGAAGAAATAGATGCAAAGATCAAAATAACAACTCAATAAAATAGCTTAGAAAGGGCTTGAGAATTGAAAATAAACAATCTAATCTGCAAAAGAAAAGAACTCAACGACAAAGTTTCAAATCTGGAATGAATCTAAAAATCCAACTCAAAAACCAAGCAGTGATGATAAAAGAGAAGAACAAGGAGCAAGAACTTATAGTTCTAATACCATATTAGAAATAGAAAAAAAAAAAAAGAAATATTTATAGAAAGATTTATTGTTATTTTGAATAATACTATATGTACAATGACACATAAATAGATGCCTATAAATAAAATATTCTAAGGTATAAAGTATATAAAGAGAATATTTTAAGATATAAAATATTTATAATAAGTGTAAATATGATCTGAATTATTGTGTTCACATCTTAATAATTTTAAAATCAGATTGAGAATTTTTTTTTTTCGTCTTTTTTTGTACTATTTTAAACAAATGATATGGTTTTGAGGTATATATCCTCTTAATTTTTAAAAAATCCAGCTAACAAATACTAATCTTTATATTAAAATATGGATTAGATACACATCAATTTTCAATTTTCTTTCATTTTTTAGTGATTTCAAACCGAGATTCTAATGAACTTGAAATGCAAGTAGTCTAAATTTACCCCTTTAACCAAATAAGGTGAAATAAATCCCAAAATTGAGACAAGTATGTTAAACTCATTTTGTGATTAAATTACATGTAAATTTGTTGAGTTCCTATGATAATTTTGATGATAACAAAATCATTGAAAAAGTTTTATTATTTTTGTATAAGTGTGTAGGATCGAAAGAAAGAATTATAGAGAGAGAATTCATATAAATTCAAGTCTCTATGCATTACAGCAATGATCTCTACTCATTTATTTAAAAATATAGTAGATGAAGCTAAATGAGGAATGGAGGAAATTGGGAAAATTTGATGTCATAAATTTCATAAGAAGATGATTTCATTCTATTTTCAACAAGGAAAAA